ATTTTTTAAGTGTTAAGAGAAAAGAACAGTCAATCATGGATTCTATGGCAAAACTATCCTTCGAGAGTGAAAATAAAGACATTATCAAGTAAAAAAAAAAGAATTTGTTGCTAGCTAAAGGAAATTCTTCAACCCTAATGAAATGATAAAAGGAAGAGTCTTGGAGCACCAGGAAGGAAGCAAGAAAGAATGATGGAAAGAGTATAAATGCATGCATGGATAGTAGGTGGTCATTTTCCTCATGAGTTTTATAAATCATATTTGATGATTGAGACAAAAATTATAACACCATGTGATACTTAAAACAATATTTAATTTAAAGGAGTGGAAGTTAAAGGTAGCCACACTTCACTTCAAGTGGTAAAATGTTCACATCAGTAGACAGTGATAAGTCATGTATGTGTATTGTAATACCCAGAACAATCACTACAAGACTTATAAAAAGAGATAGAGTCAAAACACAATATGAATTAAAATGGAATCCCAAAAATGTTTAACCTGAAGGAAATCAAGAAAAGAGTAACAGGAATGACAACCAGAGGAAACTGGAGGGACACTTTTAATGATAAAAGGATCTATCTACACTGAAGGAATATATACTAAAATCATAGGCTCAAAGTAAATAAAGCAAAAATAAACATAGCTGAATGGAGAAATTAAAAGTCCACATTTATAGTTGGGACTATATTCACAACCCTTTCTCAGAAAACTACTGGAATGATTATACTGAAAATCAGCAAGGGTCTAGAAAATCTGAACATTATAACTAATAAGATCTAATTGACATATATACAACATATCACCCAACAGCAGCAGAATACATTTTTTCCAAGCATTTATGGAACATTCACCAAGATAAACTACAACCTTGGCCACAGAACAAACTTTAATAGGTTTACGATAACTGAGATCATATAGGGTGTTCTCTGATCATAATGGAATCAAACTTGAAATCAATAATAGAAACAAAAGGAAACTTGGTAAATTTGTGGAAATTAAATAACACATTCTTGAATAAGTCATGGGTCAAAGAAGGAGTCTCAAAGTAAGTGAAAAAGTACATAGAACTGAATGGTTATAAAAATAAAATATATCTGTGAGATGCAGCTCAAGTAGTACTCTGAGGGAAATTTATAGCAATAAATACATTAGAAATGAGGAAAGATCTCAAGCCAGAAGTTAATGAAAATCTAAATAAATGTTCATGGATTAGAATATTCGGCATACTAAAATGTCAGTTTTCCCCAGTTTGACCATAAGTTTAATGCAGATCCTATTAAAACCCCAGTAAGGTTTTTGTAGTAACATATAAGCTTGTTCTGCAATTTATAAGGAAAGGCACAAACCCTGAAATGTCTTCAACAATGTTGACAGAGAAGAATAAAATGGGGAGGAATCATCCACACTCATATTGTAGCTTATTCTCACTTGAGTAATCAAGAAAATGTGTTGGTGGAGGGATAGACATGTAGATCAATAGAATAGAATGGAGATTTCAGAAATCCACAAATAAGCTTAACTGATTTTTTATAAAGTCAAAAACAATTACTTAGAGGAAGGATAACCTTTCCAACAAATGGTGCTGGGGCATTTAGGTATCCTTAGACAAAACAAAGAAAGAAAATTACTACAGCAATAAACTACACCAAAGGTACAAACACATACAAGAGTCATCTTAAACATCACACTTCTTGCAACAATTAACACAAAATGAATGGTGAATTTAAATATAAAGTTTCAAAGTATAAAACTTAGAAAACCCCAGTTTTTTAAAGAAACACATGCCATCCCTCATCTTAATGTCTCTACCCCTTTATTCTTTTCAGCCCTTCATTATTCAGTTTGGACATTGCCCTTCTGGGAAGTTCTCATTGGTCTTACAAGTCTGGTTGGATTGGTCATCTCTCCTATAAGCTCCAGTGACACCATGATGGATAATTGTTTTTCCTCTGCTTGCTCAGCATCTGAGTCTGTTCATGTGTAGGGAATTCCCCATTAAATGGGCTTTGTTTGGCGCCATGGTCCACTGCCTTCTTCAGAAACCAAGAAGGGCTGATACTGCTTCTTGGTACCACACCTTGACAATCTCTGTATCATCTAGGATAGTCATTCTCTTTAGCCCAAGGCTTTGAGTTGGGAGTGAGCAATGGGAAAGGACTGTGACATGGAGAACTCATTCTTGTCCTCTTGGCAGCAGCCTCTTTTTCAGGTGTGGTGCTGGTGATGATATCCAGAGAGTGGTGGTATCTATAGTAGATGGATTTTGAGGGATTGAGTGGTGGTCCAGTGGTCAGCCTTCATTCCTTCCTTTCTAGAGATTTTATGAGCTATGAGATCCTTTAAACAAATTCCTTTTCTGTTTAGCTAGAGTTACCCTCGCTAAACACCCTAGCTTTTGCTTGCAAAAAAATCTTGATGGATTCAATCACCCTGTTATAGTGCTGCCTTTCTGACTGTTTACTTGCCATTTTCTTACACCAGATCCTGAGTAGAGGTTTTGTCTTATTCATCATGTACACAGCGTGCTTGAGTATATTAAATTCTCAGTAAATAATGAAAATGTGCATGTCCTCCACTCTATTTCTCCATTGGCATGATAATGGAAATTACTCTGTGTTTGGCATTTGGTAGGCTTTTAATTTTACAGTGCTATTTATAAGATTTGAATGTTTTCTTTACCTTCTTGAATATTTTATTGGAAATCCTGAAGAGTTTGTAAGCATCACTATCCTGAACAGTATTTTTCTTCCTTCACTCCTTTTCCCCCCTTAATGCAAGTACATTTGACACTTGAACAACGTGGGGGTTAGGTGTCCTGACCCTGACAAATAGAAGCCTGCATATAACATTTGACTCCCCCAAAACTTAACTACTAATAGCCTCCTGTTGACTGGACACTTTACCAGTAACGCAAATGACTGATTAACACATACATATTCATATATATATACTGTATTCTCACAATAAAGTAAGCTACAGAAAAGAAAATGTTATTAAAAAATTCATAAGGAAGAGAAAATACATGGGCAGTATTTATTGAAAAAAATTCTCATCTAAGTGGGCCTGCACATTTCAAACCTCTTTCGTTCAAGGGTCAGCTGCAGTAAGTGGTATGGATGGGGACCTCCATTTATGAGGATAAAAAATAAAAGACTTTCTTATCAACTGACATAATAATTAAGCTGGTAGATTTTATGTATAACTTTCTTTCATTGTGGGCAGTGTTATAGTATTAGTACACTGATGTGTAATGTACGTATATACATATATAGGTATATGTGCTTATATGTGTGTGTATGTGTAAAAGGCTCCCTAATTGTGTCTCCTTGTTTATTGTTGCTTTTGTTAAATCCACCATATTTCAGTTACTTAGGCTTAAAATCTTATTTATCTTGCCCCTCTGATTGGGAATGCCAGTGATTGTAAGTACCTTTTTAGTACCCTTCCCCTCTTCTCCATTGACATTATGAGCCAAGTTACTATGACTTCTCTCGCATAACCTCCTCACAAGTTTCCCTTTTACTGAAGTGAAGCCAACCTTAAACAGAGCTTCTGGACAAATCTTGCTTATGATACCTTAAAAAACTTGACGCTATCTTGTGACTCCAACGCTAATTATCTGTAGTATTTTTTTTAAGTTACCCATTCTTACTGTTGTGGCTTCACCACTCACATACTAAATCATGGGTTTTTTTGAATAATTTGCTTCTTATATACATGTGGCTTGTCTCAACAGTCTCAATATGTTCAAATTCTACTCTTGACATAGAATATACTCCAAGATGGCCCCGGCTGGTGTGGCTCAGTGGAGTGGGTACTGGCTCTTGAACCAAACGGTTGCCGGTTCAATTCCCAGTCAGGGCATATGCCTGGGTTGCGGGCCACGTGCCCAGCTGGGGGCACACCAAAGGCAACAACACATTGACATTTCTTTCCCTCTCTTTCTCCATCCCTTCCCCTCTCTGTAAAAATAAATAAATAAAATCTTAAAAAAAAAGAATATGTTCCAAGATGCATTCCCTTACTCACCCTCCCTTATTCAAAGCAGAGATATTCTTTCATATGGCTGGCTACCTGTATTTTCTGGAGACTGTTCTGTGTACCTTGGCATCATGTATTATTGATATTATTTGACAGTTGGATAGATTTGAAAATGAAAGTATCAGTGGTCCTCCCCAAAGAGCTTTCAGAGTTAATAAATTTTAGGTTTATTTCATTGGATTTTAGAAAATGCAAATATCATAGTCAAAACACTGTATGGAGTGGAGGACCCCTCAAACCCCAAACTTATTTATAAAAAATTGGGTATTTATTCTTACACGTTTAAAGTTCAGTCATCTTCAAAGTACTCCCCATCTGATACAATACACCTATCAAGACATTTTTTCCACTGTCAATTTTGAACTTGTCAATTTTGATGCCTTTTAGTGATTCTGCCGCTTTTTGTTTCACCTCTTCCACATAAGCAAAACATTTCCCCTTGAGGACTTTTTTCATCTGAGGAAACAAAAGAAAAAGTCTCTTGGGGTGAGATGGGGTGAATAGGAAGGGAGGCCCACAGTAGGAGGGGCGTGTGTGTCATGCCGTTTCTTTTGGTCAAAAACTGCTGAACACTTGGTATGGGGTAGGCAGGTGCACTCTTAAGTCACCCATCATGAAATGGGCAAATGCACTGAAAGAATTTCCAAAAAAAATTCACTGAGGCCCAACACAGCCTTTCACAACAAGCCAAGTGGTACACTGGTACAGATGGGTTCCTAGAACACTCACCTAGTGGTCCAAGCCTGTACTGCAAGGAGCTGGCCCTCCAGAGGATAATTACATTTTTTGGAGAGAGTTCCCCCTTGTAATGCTATAGTGTTAATTTTCTGCATTGTGCAGCTAGCTACTGGTAGGTATATTTATGGTTATCAAACACTTTTTTTTTTAATGATGCCTTGGTGTTTTGTTTCTATGCTTTGAGGGTTTTATTTAAATTATCATTTGTTTTTCACTCACAGTCAATGCTCCGAGGGAGAGGAGGTTGCTATAAACATACATTCTATGGCATCGAAAGCCATCGTTGCATGGAAACCACCCCAAGCCTAGCATGTGCAAATAAATGTGTCTTCTGTTGGCGGTGAGTAAAAATGAATGGCCATGGTGACCAAATATATCATGATCTGTAATAATCAATTTCTGCCCAACACTGCACTCAAATGTACCTAAAGCTTTGATGTTTCTGTAATTCTTTGAATTCCTAATATTATATATTCATGTATTTAGTTGTTTTTCATAACCATTTTTATCAGAGACTTTTCAAGTTTTTAGTCTTTTTTGAATAAGTTGAGTTTAGCTTTGTGAATCCTCTTCATTATATTTTTATTTCCTTGTTCACTAATCTGCTGCTTTTGTTTTTGTTTCTCTGTTCTTTTCCTAACTTAAATTGGACCCTTAACTCATTCATATTCAATCTTTTAGAAGTCTTTAATTGTAAATTTCCCTCTAAGTGTTTCTTTAGCCACATTCCCTAGATTTTGGTTAATTATTCAGTTGTAAATATTTTCTAATTTCCATTATGACTTCATTGTAACTCATGGGTCAAAGAAATATTTATTTAAAAAATTACAGCCTGTCTGGTGTGGCTCAGTTGGTTGTAGTATTGTTCCGTAACTGAAATGTCATGTGTTTGATTCCCAGTGAGAACACGTACCTGGATTGCCAGTTTGACCCTGTCCCACCTCAGGGTCCAGATCTGGGTACCCATAGAGGCAGCCAATTGATGCTTCTCTCTCACGTCAGTGTTTCCCTCCCTACTGTGTCTCTCTAAAAAAGCAAGTGAAAAAAAAAATGTCCTTGGGTGAGGATTTAAAAAAAAATACACCTAAGTTAGATTTTAGGGGTTATGCTTTGTTATTAACTTTCAACCAAATTGTATTATTTTTACTTGGTTTGTACATGATTTCTAATACAAATTATTTAAAATTTATTAATTTAAAAAAATTCCTATTTTATTGATTATGCTGTTAACAGTTGTCCTGGTTTTTCTGCCTTTGTCCCCCTCCATTCAGCACCCCCTACTCCCTCAGGCAGTCCCCCCACCATTGTTCATGTCCATGGGTCGTGCATCTAAGTTCTTTGGCAACTCCATTTCCTATGCTGTACTTTACGTCCCCATGGTTATTCTGTACTGCTTAATCTCCTCACCTCTTCTCCCATTCTCCCAAACCCCCCTCCAATCTGGCAACCATCAAAACGCTGTCTTTACTGGGATTCTTAGGATATATTACCTGAAGTGGAATTACTGGGTCAAAGGCAATACCAGGTTTAATTTTTTGAGGAAATATATTACTGTGCTTTTTCTATGGACTTCATAAAAATGGATCATTCAGCATGCATTTTAATGTCTGTTTTTTTCCTCAGTAAAATGTTTTTGAGATTCATCCTTGTTGTTAGGTATAACAGTAGTTTGTTCCTTTCTTTTGTATGGTTTTACCACCATTTCTTTATCTGTGCACCTCTAATTAAATAATTTGAGTTTCCAGGTTTTAACCAGGTTATGAATAAGTTAGTGTATAAATCTTCTGCAGGCAATTATTTTTATTTCTCTTGGGTAAACACCTGTGTATAGAATTGTTAGATTTTTAAAAGTCCATTGGGACAATCTGTTTTTTAACTGGTTTTGTTTAGTCAGTGTTACTTACAGTGATTGTTAATGTTGATAAATTACTGACATTTATTTTTATTCTTATTTGTACATTCCTTTTATTTGCTTTTCTACATTTTTGTCTTTATCTTTTTTTTCTCCTTTTTTTAATCCAACACTACGGTTATGGTAGGGTATCAGCTTAGGTGTTTTGTTATTGGAGGCTTTTCAGGTTATCGTGCTGGAAATAACAATCTCTGAGTGTTGACTTTAAGCTGACTCTAGTCCATCATATGTAGAATTGAATCTTTTGAGTAAGTTGGGAATATCTAAGTGAAAGAAAATGCCTAAATTACTGAAATCATTTTTGCATGTGCTTGTTAGTAATCCATTTTTCTCCTTTCTGACAACTGCTCCCTCTTCAACTCCTCATTTCTTAACAGGCTGACTTGTTTCCACTGCAGCTCGTTTGGCTATAATCAGTAATGACTCACTTACTATCAAATCTAATAGAAGTGACTTAATTCTCATCTTAATTGAACTCTAGCAAAGCATGCTACAAAATAAGGATTTCTCTTTCTATTGGATTGAGATACTCCTGTCTCTTCTAGATTTTCCCCCCCAGCCTTTTGACAGTGGTATTTTGTCCGTCCCCCCGCCCCCCCCCCACCCCGTCCCCGTTAGCTTTACTTTGGCTCGTTGTTTGTCTGAGTAATTTTCTCTGATTCTGTCTTTGGGTTTCTTTTATTGCTCTACATTATAATGGTAAGAGAAGTCAGTCATCTCCATGGTCTTATCGAGTACTTGTAATTTGACATCTTTACCTTCTTTGTCTCTAGCCCCATTCTCCCATCTGAGTTTTCATCCACTGTTTACAATTTCCTGCTGGACATGGTCTCTCAGATGATCCACAGGTACTTATAGCTCAGTTTGTCTACAGTGGAATTTATTGTGCTTTCTGTTAACCTTTTCTGCCTGTTTTGGTAATGGCACCATTAGCCATCCAGTGGGTTAGGTTGAAAATCTCATTTCCTTCAACTCACTATATTCCTCTGTATACCTAATTCAATTGATTGTGCTTTAGATACTCATTATTTCATCCTTTAACAACCAAAATTATTTATTTATTTATTTATATGTGTTGTTGATTATGCTATTACAGTTGTCCCATTTTTTTTCTCCCCTTTATTCCCTGCTGCCCTGTACCCTCCCTCTCACCAGCATCCCCACCACCCCCTTAGTTCATGTCCATGGGCCATACCTATAAGATTTTTGGCTTCTCCATTTCCTATACTATTCTTAACCTCCCCCTACCTATTTGGTACCTACTATTTATGCTGCTTATTCTGTGTACCTTTTCCCCCATTCTTCCCCCTCCCCCTCCCTTCTGATTTCCATTACTGTGGTTCTGTTCCTGTTCTAGTTGTTTGTTTAGTTTGTTTTAGTTTTTGGTTTTTTTTTAGGCTCAATGGTTGATAGTTGTGCATTTGCCATCATATTACTGTTCATAGTTTTTGATCTTCTTTTTCTTAGATAAGTCCTTATGACATTTCATATAATAAGGGCTTGGTAATGATGAACTCCTTTAACTTGATCTTATCAGGGAAGCACTTTATCTGTCCTTCTATTCTAAATGATAGCTTTGCTGGATAGAGTAACCTTGGTTGTAGGTCCTTGCCTTTCATAACTTTGAATACCTCTTGCCAGCCCTTTCTTGCCTGCAAGGTTTCTTGTGAGAAATCAGCTGAAAGTCTTATGGGAATGCCTTTTTTTTTTCAATTTATAAATCATGTTTGTTCTATTACAGTTGTCTCAATTTTTTGCCCCCGCTCCCACAGTCAATTCCAATTCTGTTGTCCATGTCCAGGGGTCATTCATACATGCTCTTTGTTTAGTCCCTTCCCCTTCTTTCCACCATTGTCCTCTTTCCCCTTCCCCTCTGGTCAGTCTGCTCCATGTTTCCATGCCTGTGGTTTATTTTTGTTAGTTTATTTTGTTGAATAGAGTCCACTTATAGGTGAGATTGTATGGTATTTGTCTTTCATCAACTGGCTTATTTCACTTAGCTTAATATTCTCCAGTTCCATCCCTGTTGTCGTAAAAGGTAGGAGTTTCATATCTCTCTTTCTCTTTCTCCTTTTCTTTCTCTTTCTTTCCTTCTTTCTTTCTTTCTTTCTTTCTTTCTTTCTTTCTTTCTTTCTTTCTTTCTTTCTTTCACGCAGATTGATTTTTTTAATGTCAAAGTTAATTATAAAATACTAAAAAATTTAAAACCATTATAAAGTCTCAGCAATTAAACCAACATGACACCAGCACAGAAATAACCAAATAGAACAATGAAATATAATGAGCATTCTAGAGACAAATGTATGTATCTGTCTAACAATGTACTGTATGATTAAGTTGATATTTCAAATCAATGGGGAAAATAAGGCTTATTCAACAAATGAAGTGTATGGACCACTGTTATTTGGAATAAAACAAATATAGAGCCCTATTTCACACATTATATAAGAAATATTCAGGTGAGTTAAAAATCAATATGTAGAATCTAAGGAGTTTTAGGAGGAAATACAAACTCATATTTTCTTACCCTGAAGTAAAATATTCAAACCCAAAAGCTATAAAGTAAAATATTGACAATATGACTATATTGAACATTTAAGACTGTACAATAATATACATATACAAAATTAAAGGACAAATAATAGAATAGGAAAGTATTTGCAACACATCTAAAAAAGGGTTAATGCTTTTTTTTTGTTTTTTTTTAGGGAAAAAATTCTACAAACATTTAGTCAAAAATTGGATAAAGGTACCAAAAAAGTCACTTAAAGCTTTTTAAAAATAATAGAAATAGGCAAGAAACATACAAAAACAGGTTTAGTTTCAACAAATAATGAAGGAACAATTAAAATAACACATCATTATCTCAATTAGATTAATAAGTATTAAACAATATTATAATATCAAGTATTGGCAACTGTGAAAGGAACTGGGTATTCATAGACTCTTTCTTCATCCTAAAGCAACTCCTTTAGCATATTTTGCAGTGCTGGTTTGGTGGAGGTGTATTTTTTTTAGCCTTCTTTTGTCTGGGAAACTCCGTATTTCGCCTTCCATTTTAATTGAGAGCCTTGCTGGGTAGAGCAGTCTTGGTTCCAGGCCTTTGCTTTTCATGACTTGGAATATTTCTTGCCATTGCCTTCTGGCTTGTAGTGTTTCTGTTGAGAAATCAGCTGCTAGCTGTATTGGGGCTCCCTTAAATGTTATTACCTCTTTCTCCCCTGCTTCCTTGAGGATTCTCTGTCTTTGATATATGCCATTTTAATGATGATGTGTCTTGGAGTGGGCCTCGTTGGGTTCCTCTTGAATGGGACCCTGTGTGCTTCCTGGACTTGTGTGCCTTTTTCTCTCCACCAATTAGGGAAGTTTTCCATCATTACTTTTTCAAACAGGTTCTCTATCCCTTCCTCCTCCTCTTCTCCTTCTGG